TCCACACTGAAGACTGGCGTCTGCGATTTTCATTAGCAAGTGTTTCAAGTTCTCCTGGCTTCCAGCAAGCAAGGTGGTATCACATGCATATCAGAGGTTCTTCATCAGCCTTCATCCAATCCTGATGCTACCTTCTTCTTCATATATAGCCCGGCTTCTCAGGTTCATTGCTCAGCACACAGATCGAATAATTGTGGTGAGAAGCTACAACCGTGACACACACGGTTCCTGATTTGAAACCACACCGTGTTCCCTTGTTCTCTTCCAACGACTGCCTCATGGGCCATGTCCGGGTTCCACATGAGCACAAGGGAGCACAATCACAATAGAAAAATAACCCCCCCAAAACCCAACCAAACAAAGCCTCTATGGCTATCAAGTGGATTCCAACTCCTCGTGGTCCTAAAGGAGAGAGCAGACCTGTTGTCTCCAGCTGCTGAGACTACAAACCTGTCCTGGTTCGGCCATCTCATCTTTTTCTTGAGGAGCAGCCGAGGGGTTCAAACTTCCAACTCTGTACTTAGCAGCCCAATGTGTAACCCTGGGTCTCCTGGTAGGGATAAATGCTGGGTACACATTAGTCATTGTCATGTAGATGATGTCATCACACTGCATGCTGCTGCTGGGGTCCTGAGCTCCTAGGCCCTGGGGGTGAGTCAAGAGGAGGTAGGGAAGTTCTGGGGAAGGGGTTGCAACATCGTGTGGGAAATAGGGTTGGATGGCTATGCAGGCCCCCACCCCCGGGATTTGGTAATTTTATTACACAAGTGCTAAAAGCCCCCTCATACCTAGTAGACAAGCAGGCATGTGCACACACATGCAACACATACACACATGTGTGCCCTGCTGGCAGTCTGTCCCACATCAAATGCTCACCAGAGAATAGGTGACTGGCTTTGGCCAGGTGCCTTGGGGACACAACTAGAGCCAAACGGAGCCGGGTCATTGGGTTCAGACTGTGCTAGCATGTATTCATCCATGACACACTCAGGTGGGGTGCAGGCCTGAGCAAAGCCAAATTGCCACCCACCCGTGAGCTGGTTCAGCACACGTTCAAAGCCCTGTGAAGGAGGGTGGGACCAAGACCTACGTCTGGCAGGCTGTGCAGCTGTGACCCACGTTAATTAAAGGCCACTACCAGCATGGCTTTGAGTCAGGCCCTGGGGGTTTGCAATGAACAGGCACCCTCTAGGGACCCCCCTATAGAGGAAGGGGCATGGCAGGATGGTTCTGGAGCTGAGCGAGTGCTGTGGAAGGAAGAGCCGAGGGTGGGGGCTCGAGGGTGGAAGGTGAACACTCTGGTGTCATGGGCTAGTTCTCTGCCCATGTGTGCTGTGCTGAACCTACTGATCGTGTAAGGTTAGGAGGATGAAATCAGAGACTATATTAAAAGTCTTAGCCGAATGGTTGGCATGGTCATATCATTGTCCTTTTGCACAAAGCCATCCAAGACCACAGAAGACTCGTGGCTCAGGGGCCACCTATTTCATGCAGGCCTGGACTCTGCTTTCAAAGCTGGCTGAAGAGTGGCTCTCTTGGCAGCCCCCCACCCCACTGCCCGCCCCCAGGCCCCTTACTGTGTGCATGCGGGCACACTCTTCTGGGACGCAGTAGATGTGACCCTGGTGAAGGTTGGACTCGCTGACCAGCAAGGCTATGTCCAAAGAGGAGAGACATTCAGTAAAGCCCAAAGGAAGAGCCTGGCAGCTTCCGGTTGCTCCACACCCCCACCCCAATGCTGGGTCCTCCGGATCTCCCTCCCAATGGGCTCCCACAGCTTGGATCCTCGGCCTTGGCCTTTGCACAGGCCAGCAGTGAAAGCTGGTGATAGATTTGGATATGAAAACGCCTTGGGCATGTCCTGGTGTGGCTGTGCCCGCTGAAGCCCTGGCCCGAGGCGTTGGGGTTTGTGAGGGTTGATGAGGAAATACGAGCCTTCTTCAGCTTAAGGAGGTGCCAGTGACGCAGATGCTGATGGGAACCAAGGAGGGACAGTGCCAAGAGGAAGTGGTGTGGCTACTGGCTGCTGATAGCCCAGTAGACAGGGAAGGTCCCAGCAGCTGGCTGGCACTTGCCTGCCAGGCCCGCCCTTGTCATACCCAGGGGAGTTCTAGGGGATGTTCAGACTTTTATGGGGAACCCTCCCTTTATGGAGACAGGGCTTGGATTAACCAGCTTACAGCATGCCAGGTGCACATGGGCTTACTTTTGTTTACTGACTCATCTGCAATGCACAACTTCACCTGTGTTCTACCACGTCTTTGATGTGAAAACCAGGTGGAATTGTGCACGACAGATTAATAAGTAAGCACAAGCAAGCCTGTGCATACCATGCTGATTAGGTACTCTGTCCTTGAGAGAGGTAACCTGCCTGGTGTCCTTTACACAAGCCACACACCTCGATTTCCCAGACCTCTTTCAGCTTCCAGCCAATCACTGGGATCTGCCTTTCCTAGAAGTGCCGGCCCACCTGTTCCTGCTCTCTGATGCTGCTTCCTCCCAGGTGCTCTGGGGTTGGCCAACGCCCTGACCCCATACAGCTCTACTTTTAGGAAGTGCTCCCACCCACTCCAAACTCACAGCCATCAGCTGATGCCAACTCTCAGCCGCCCTATAGGACAGGATAGAACTGCCCCCTGTGGGCTTCCAAGACTGTAACTCTCTCTCTCTCTCTCTCTCTCTCTCTCTCTCTCTCTCTTTTTTGAATAGACACCAAAGTTTACCAGTGGCTATCAGGGATGGATGGGGGAGCAATTGGTGTTCTTTCTTCTTTTTTTTAAGATCATTTTATTGGGGGGCTCTTACAGCTCTTATAACAATCCATGCATCAATTGTATCAAGCCTATTTGTACCAATATTGCCATCATTATTTTCTAAGCATTTACATTCTATTTGGGCCCTTGGCGTCAGCTCCTCTTCTTGCCCTCCCTGCCCCCTCCCACCCTCGTGACCCCCTTGACAAATCTTAAATTATTATTAATTTCGTGTAGACTATAACTCTTTAAGGGAGCAGAAAGTCTCATTTTTCTCCTACGGAGTGGCTGGTGGTTTTGAACTGCTGCCTAGCTGTTAGCAACCCAACACATAATCCATGGCGTCCTCAGGGCACTTAAGGAAGTGCTAGGGAGAACAGACAAGGACACACGGATGGTTCAGAGGTAGAATCTCACCCCCAACCCCCCCACCCCTCGCCACGAGGGAGAACCAGGTTCATTTCCAGCCACAGCACCTGATATGTACCACCTGAATATCAGGGAGGCTCTCCTGATGCAGCAATGGGCACGGGCCTCAGGGGGTCTTGCAGCCTAAGACAAACTAGGAACAAAGGGGCGGTGAACCATCTCCTCAGGCTAGCCCCAGAGAAGCCTTAGGCTCACAAGGGCCTGGTCTGCAACCAGCCGTGGGCTGGAACAGGACCAGAGAGTGTCTTAGCTCTTTGTTGGGGGGAAGGGGGGCTGTCTCCAGGAGTCAGGGGCTGACTTGTAGACAGTTGCCACCACCAGGGAGAAAAAACTCCCATGTCCGTCTCTTCCATAACTGTTGGCAGCGACAAATAAGGATTTGATGGAAACATGCAATTGGGACCTCTGGCCTCTGGTGGCCCTAAGCCATTACGTAACCTCGCTGAGCCTTGGCTTGCTCACGTGAACTTGGGAAGTTATGAGACATCCCTCAGAACAGCCTTTGGATGAGGGCAGCCAGGGCCCCTACTCCTGTCCTTCCCCTGCCTCTGATGCACACACTTGGGGGTCTAGTTGGAATGCAGGTTCATGGCCCAGTAGCCAGGGTGGGGCCTGAGAGTTGGTATTCCTTATAAGCTCCGTGGATCACCCTTGAGTAGCAAGGCTGAGAAGGTTCCTATGAGGAGGAACTAAAGGATGTCCTGCCCAGTGGCTGAAAGAGCTCCTCCTGAGCGCTGGGGACTTGGCGGGTATCGGTCCTCTCAAAAGCCTTAGTCAAGGGTGCAGTGGAGGGGAGACGTCCGACCTAAGAGGACACAGTAGTGGGGTCATAGGAGGGCGGAGCTGGGAGTGCATCCAGACAGCCACCAGCCCCTCAGAACCACCCAGTGGCTCTTAAACAAATGACACCGGCTCCCGGCCTCACCTGGAGAGTGGACGGGACCAGAAAACCCTGGGAGGGGCCCCTAAAGTTACTTTTAAAAAGCGTGCTTTTGAAAAGAGCCCTGGTAGCACGTTGGTTAAAGAACCCAGCTGTTAGCCATAAGGTTGGCAGTTCAAACCCACCAGCCGCTCCGAGGAAGGAAGATGAGGCTGTCTGCTTCCATGGGGCTTATAGCCTTGGAAACCCGATAGTGGAGTTCTACCCTGTTCTAGGAGGCCGAGGTAAGTCAGTGTCGACGCAGGGGGAATGGGGTGATGATTCTGATGCTGTCTGTTTGCTGTCTGACTTGCGGACCACTGGACCTGGTCCACACCATCATTTTGGAGATGAGAAGGGATGCCCCTAAGCCTCGCAGTTCATTCATTGAGCCGTCCACCCATTCATTCCACATATATGTGTGGAGAACTTACTGGGTGCCAAACATCATGCCAGGTTCGGGTAGGGGGTGGGACAGGTCCAGTGGGACCCCAGACATCAGACCTGGGCCAAGTAAATAGCGGAGATGATGACCGATAATGGTGCTAAATACTCTCCATCCTGTGCCGAGAAGAGCATCTGTGTATCAGGGTCACAGGTACCCCAACTGAGATTGGGGAGTCAGAAAAGGCCCCTCTGAAGGGAGACTGGCAAGTTAGCCAGAAGGAGCCACGTGGAGCGTGGACGAAGACTGCAGACGCCGGTTTGACGGCGGCACGGAGGACGAGGCATCTCAGATGAGCAGAGGGACAGCCTCCTGCTCTCCCCCTCCCTCCCTCCCTGCTGTAGCCCTGCAGTCTCTCTGGGCTCCAGCTCACCTCCCCCAACCTGCAGTCAGGTCTTCTCTAACCCACTGCCCTCCTTGTGTCCTCAGCAAACAGGTCCTATCAGTGCCACCCTGGTGATGACCCGCCCCATCAAAGGGCCCCGGGAGATACAGCTGGATTTGGAAATGATCACCGTCAACACCGTCATCAACTTCAGAGGCAGCTCCGTGATCCGGCTGCGGGTCTATGTGTCGCAGTACCCCTTCTGAGCCTGGGGCGCCCGTGCCGGCCTCTCCCCGCAGCCGGGGACAAGAGAAGAAGAGACGTGCCCCAGTGAGAGCCAGACGGACTCAGTCGCGCCTTGCCTGCTGACCGTTTCCCTGAGGGGTGGGCCCCCGCAGCCCAGCCCTGTACTCTTATAGAGCCACTCCGAAAGACCTGCTGCGGCCGGAGCCCACGGAGCACTTATCCAAAAGCATGGTCGTGGCCCCAGTGGGAGGTCCCCAAGTTCTTTGGAAGGCCCCAAGTTCTTTTCCACCAACCCCCCCTTTTTTTTAAATCAAAGAAACTAGATTAAGTTTGCTGGGGTGTGAGTCTATGTTCAAAGACTGTGAACAGCTTCTGCTTGCCTCCTCTCTGTCCCTGGCTGCCAAGCTGCTCTGCCGAGGCCTGGGATGCTCCCCGGGAGGACGCCAGGTTAGCTAGTGTGCTGCTTGTGTGTGCGGAGAAGGCTCTGGCAGCGCCCCGCAGCAGGAGGGAAAGGCTCTGAAGGGTCTTGCCCCCCGCGTCTGGGCTTGTCAGTCATAGACGAAGGCTGTGTGCCCCTCACTTTGTATCTCCATGTAATTCTGTATGGTTTATTTGAGCTTTATTAATATTATTTTTATTTTTAAAGAGGTGGTAGGATGCTTTCACAAGCCTCAGACAGTGCTGCTCTGTCTCCCCACACCCAGGCTCCTCCCCACTTGGTGGTGGTGTCATTGGGTACCAGTGAGTCGGTGCTGACCCATAGCCACCGTAGGCACGGCAGAAGAAACACGGTCCAGTTCTGCACCATCCTCACAACGGGCCCTACGCTTGAGCCCAAAGTTGCAGCCACGGTGTCAGCCCGTCGCGTCAAAGGGCCTTCCTCTCTTTCGTTGCCCCTCTGCTTTGCCAAGCACGATGTCCTCCTCCAGGGACTGGTCTCTCCTGACCCCATGGGAGGCCCCCTCCCAGACCATGCTTTCTTTGGCATTTTTTAACCCCACTGAGTCAGAAGGTGAGAGGTCTCCAAACTGATTAAATATTTGAAGAGATCTGGTGGCTTCATTTTGACGCTGCGGCTACTTCACCCTTTAAGGGTTTGTTCCGGGTCGATTTGAACTTGGGGGCTGTGCGCTGGCTCTCGAAGCTCCCCAGAGAGCTGATTTATCACTTAGGACTCAGGCCAGGTGGTGTGGGCAGGGGTGGGGTGTGCAGAGAGACAGCGTGACGGGGACACTGGGAGGAAGCATCCACCTGAGCCCCACGTCATTCCATTTCAAAACCACCAGCCATCCCTCCGGTGTGGGGACCTTCTTCAAGCAAGTTTCCCCAAACCCCTGCTCTTCGCCCCTTCCTTCAAAGGGGACCTTTTGAAGGAAAACCCGATTCCCTGGGCCTCATCCCCCGAGAGTCTGAACTAATTGGTCTGGGGCAGAATCCTGGCACTGGGATTTTGTAGATGTGTACTGAGCAGCCCAGGGGGTTATGTGTTGGGCTGCGAGCTGCGTGGTCAGCACTTCGAAACCACCAGCCTCTCTGAGGGGAGAAAGACAAGGGCTTTCTACTTCCATAAACAGGTGCAGTCTTAGACACCCACAGTGGGGTGGGCGTGAGTCAGCTTGTGTGCGAGGACGAGGGGCCACTGTTGAAGACTGGTTGTCACCAACCTCACAGAGCGGTGGATCCTGTGCTATAAGCCCCTCACATCCTGCCGGTTAACCTGGTGCTCATTTTCTTCAAGTCTCACTACCCTAGGAAGGAGCAGAGAGCCAACAGGACAAGTCACAGGTCTGCTCTGTAGGGTCGCTGCCCAGATGTGGCGTCCCCAGAATTTCCCTGAGGCTTCCAAAGGACCAAGTGCCCTGGCTGGCCCCACCGGTGAACGAGGTTGATCCGTGGGTGCTCATTCTAACTGGTGGGGATATGCGAGCGAAAGACCTGCCCTGATGGGCCTCGGCTCCCCGACTTCTGGGAGTCAAGCACTGAAACTCGCAGACACACCTTCTCCTTTGACACTGGGGGTTGCCAGGAATTGGCATCCGATGGATGGCAACTGGTTAGCTGGCTATGTGCCAGGCACTGTCCTGAGCTCTGTGGGCTGATGGGGATTTCACCCATCTGTCAGGGGCCACTCTTCCTAGAGCGTGTGGAGTCCCCTGCAGGGTCCCCACTCTCCTGGGGACCCTTCATATGCCCACACCTAATCTTGCTAGTGGCTCTGTGATTTCTCTAATGACACCCAACCACGTCCCCCAAACCAACCAAACTCACTGCCATCGAGTCGATTCTGACTGTTGGCAACACTGCAGAGCAGGGTAGAACTGCCCCCGGGGTTTCTGAGACCACACCTCTTCACAGCAGTGGAAAGCTGCCTCTTTATCCTTCGCAGTATCTGGTGGTTTTGAACTGCTGACTTTGCAGTTAGCCACCCCCTGTGAAACCACGACACCACCAGGGCTCCCAAGCATGTCCCACACCTCTCAGTTATGCTCCTGCAGCCGGGTTCACTAATACGCACAGCACACGCTTCAGATGCCCGCTTTGCTAGCTCAGAGGAGGCTCGGGCAGCCTGCGGGCCCAGTTTGCTCTCCTCCAAGCAGAGACCAGGTGCCCTGAGCCGGGGACCGAGTGGGGGCGGCGCTCTCCACTATGTGGGGTGGTGGCAGGGCTGGGTGTGGAGTTAGCAGTGCCGGAGCTTGATGTGGTTTCCGCCCCAGGTGGCTCCGGGCCACCCACTCCCTGGCTCAGCACAGCCCGCCAGGGTCTGGTTTCCCTTCACGTCAGAGGAAGAAGGGAGGGGCGCTTTCGCCTGGGGACTCGAGGACCCACTGGTTTCAGAAGTGTCACTTTTTGAACCAGAGCCCAGGCTCTCGGGCTCATGTTTTATTTGTTTGTATCAAAATGTGGCTTCCTGCTTCTAAGAGGAAAACATTTTTTAAAAAGACAGAAAAGGCACCCAGGGGCTCATAAAGACAGGCTCGAAGGGCTTCTTGGACCTCAGCTGGCTCTTTCAAAACATGCCCGATGAGTTCAGTGTAAAAGCATGTGGGATCAATTTTCCCGAAAATCCACCAGGGCCTGAAAAATGAAGGGGAGAGACGGCCTGGGGCAATGCATGTACTGTGAGGCCAAACCCAAAGCATTGGGGAAATTGCTCCAGAGGCTCCCAGAACTCCAAGGGCTTCCGCCTCCCCCAAGGGACCGTCGGAGCGTCTCGGTTTCACGAGCCTGGGATTATCCTGTCCCTCAAGTCACAGCTCTGGTTCCACCATGGAGTCTGAAGGGGTGGCTCTTCCCCGAAACCCTGACATAGCCGGCCTGATCCCCTGCCTGTTCCTGGTCAGCCTGGCCCTTCCAGGGCCGAGCACCGGAGCTCTGTGTACTGGGAGGAGCGCAGGGCGCTGTGGGGGCGTGGGGGCGGGGGTGGATGAAGCGTGGAGCCACCTGTGAGAATCTCCGCCTGGCCACCTGATCTCCTAGATTCCAGCAGGATGAACACGGCGTTCCAAGCTCCTGCGCTTCCTTGAAACGGACTTGGGGAGGCCAGCCAGCCTTTCCATTAAACTGCAATTCGAGACTTTCGCTGGGGTTGGCCAGTCCTAACCCTCTCTAACTGGCACCAGATTCACCTACCTGCTGCTGCCTCGCAAGCTCGGCTAACAGGCTTTACAATCAGCCCAAGGTAACAGGCTTGGTTCTTCAGGTGCTCTCTTTGTCCAGATGGTGAACACATGTAAGTCGGTTTGACGACTTGGTTGTCAGAGGTCTCCATGTCCTTCAAAGGCCTCGGTCCTTTAGCGCCAACAAGCTGTGCATCTGGAGCCGAGAAGGTCATTGGGAGAGAGAGAGGACATGCCAGAGGAAGCCGCTGTTCTGAACTGCCCTCTCCTCCCCGGAGGAAATGCTGTCTGTCAAGGGCCTTTGCCTTAAGGGAGGCACAGTCTCTGGCCCAGTGTTCACTTAGGGTGAGCCGGTTGCAGGAACAAGATGGACATAGTCTACAGAGGGCGCTCTGCTAGCCAAGGGTTTATGCCACCCATAAGCCCTTGCTCTGAGGGTAAACGATGGCGCCGTCTGCTCCCGTAAAGATTTACAGCCTCAGAAGGTCTTAGGGAGAAGTTCTTCTCTGTCCTGTAGGGTCGATATGAGTCAGCATCAACTTGATGGCAGTGGGTGGTGGGTGACGTGTGGTGGAGGTGGGGGGTGAGGAGGCAAATCTGGACTATAACGCGGTGGTGCCAATTAGCGGTATGGCTAAACTTATTTGTGTGAGTTCTTTTTAAAAAATATACGTAGCAAATGGTTTGCCATCTCCATATGCTTCGTGAATATCAATGTTGTAACTCTGATGGTATCATGGTATTCAGCTAGCACCAATGCCCATTTCTACCTTTTTCCATCACAGAGGCTCAGTGACCCCCAGCAATGAGCCCCACTCTCTCCCCTCCCACCCATGCTCTCCAGGCAACCACTAAGAAATGTTGGTCTCTGTATACTTGTTCATCCTAAATATTCCATCCCGGTGAGGTTAAACAGTCCATGTACCTCGGTGCCTGATGGATTTCACTGTGCCTAATGCTTTCCAGACCCTCGATGCTATAGCAGAAAGACTTTCATTCTCTTGATGGCTGTGTAATATTCCACTGCATGTAGGAGCTGCATTTTATTTCTGTCTGTATCCATTGGTGGTTATTGGTTACCCAAACTAAGCTCACTGCCGCCAAGTTGGTTCTGACTCATAACAGCTCTCCCTAGCGTGTCTGAGATAACAAATGCTTTCAGGACAGGGAGCATCTTTCTCCCTTAGAGCAGCTGGAGTTTGAATTGATGACCTTGTAATTGACTGTGTCCAATGCCTAACTCACAGCCCTACCAGGGCCCCTGGGACATCCGCTAGGCTTTAATAATTATTATGATATACTTACCTTATGCATATAATTCCCATGAACACTGGTAGAAACATGCTTGCAAGTTAGAGTCAGATACCCCTGTTTAGAATGCTTACATGCATTTCAAAGGAAACACACCCTCAACGTTAGAAAGTGAATAGTCTTTCTGTTGGGTACAATGGGTAGGTGTGCTTTGAGATGCACTGTTTTCCAGGGAAAACATAAAGGGCGAGCATTTAGTCAAGCCGTTCAATGCGGTTTGGGCATTGGCCAAGGTCCACCCACTGCAAATACATACACAGATTGTTCTTTATGTTGCTATGTTTTGTCCTCAAGTTTCTCAGTCCCTTTACAAAGAACGGGTGGCAGATAGCTTCCTTAGAACTCCCGGAGCGTAACAAAAAGATGTCTTTTTCCTTCTTTCTTCTTAATAGGCAAGAGAT